CGATCTACCCCCGGGCTTATGTGAACCATACCTTAGCGCTGGGGCCCGGTTTACCTGAGATTATCCAATGTGCGAACCCTGATCCTATGTCAAATCTTTTCCCTTATATTAACGGGTAGAGTCAAAGACGGCACTCGATGCTTGCAAACTGGCTGGCTTTGCGCGGTGTGTTATTATCAAATACGTGTTATTTAAGTGATATTAGACTCGAGCACAAGGTGAAATAAGCATACGCACCTCTTCTACCTGGTAAACTTGCATTTAACCCTGGCTGACAATTAAGCACCAACCGTGGTTCTTGCACCTGTGAAGACCGGCCGGAAAATTGCTCAGTTTTGAAGTTGGTTGAAGGCTTAGATTGGGCAAATAATGATATGTTTCAACATCTACACCTTGAAATTCGACCTCCGACTAATTTTTACCCGTCGAAGCGGTGCAAAAAATACGAGCGTCATTAGACAGTGGTAGACCGTAAATCTTCAGGCTTGAAAGCCAGCCTACACGCAAGGCCAGTATACGATCCTTGTGAACGGACAGGGTTTCAAAAGCCACCCTTGCCTAACCCTACTTTCCACGGATGGGGCTGCGCGGAGTCGAGGCTATTAATCTTAGTTTATTACGCTTCTCGTTGACGACTTGCGACGAGCCAGCAGCGTGGTTGGGAGCGAGCCGAGCCAATGATTCCGCAATTAAAGTTTAATTTTCAGATGATTACAGTAAATAATTGGAAGACGCATATCTGCGGGTATTAGACGTATAGTATTACATCAGTGATTCCTGTAAAAATCGCGATAGTTCTACCGTTTCTTTTTATGTTTCCTGCTCAATTTTGTTTTCAATACGGGTAGGCTGCTGCACCGAAACAACCTCTGGTAATTTTCTATTGATCCTGGCCGAGTAAGTAGATCGACGGCTTTATTTTCTTCATGGTGAACATTAGCGAACTCTGAACGACGTGATTCCGCGAACTGTATAAAACAGGGGTCAAGTCTCGTCAATTTCAAATCGGGGAGTCGTAGTTATCACGTGACCGGGTACTTGATTGTAATAGGAGAGTGTCTATTAAAGCATCATCATTGATGTCAAGAAGAGGACTGATACAGGGTGACCAGATCTGCGTGCTGCTATTGTGAGACACGCACGTGAATAGTTGTAGAAGTCGTTATAGCAGAACAGGTTACATCACGGCTTACGATGTCGCATCTCAGTACTTTAATACGGGGACGAGTTTCCGCCAAGCTGATTCATGTGCGGTTAACATGCTTAAAGGGAATAAATCTACCATCGGCTTGTTCACCAGCTGCGTAGACAAAAAGGGAAAGAGCTAATTTCAGACTATTACATTATATCATCTTTGGAATAATTGCAATAAACTGCGGGTAAAAGAAAATATAAACCCATGTTTAATGGTGGGTTAAAAAGGTTTTAAACAAGAAATGGATGTTCGATGGTGATGTATTTGACACGGGTGTCATTGTCATGTTTGAAGAGTTTCAGCGACTGTTGTCAGCCTAAAAACGTTTTGATAACATTTGATTTTTTTTTGTCAAATCAATTTTTCAAGTGTATACTTTCATTTACGATGCAGTTTATATCTTTCATATTTAGAGAAATGCCGCTTTTGGTAATATTCCAGCTATATCACGGATGGGCACACGAACAATGGGCTTCATATTTACCTATGTGGGTATTTCAAACAGGTTTACAGGTGACTCGCCGCTAATATCCACCCCCCACCCCTACTCCATCCCCTCTCTCCCACCTCCCAGCCCCTCTCCCAGCCCCTTCAACGTGGCGACGAATATTCTTTGAGCATTTTTTTCTATATAAATGTGCTTTTTACAATAAAGTACTCTGGAGACATATTTTATGTTTAGTTTTTAGAAATATGATTTTGTTGTATAGAATCTTTAAAACGTTAATCTAAACAACAAAAAACCGACAGTTGATTAAAACGTGAAATAAGCAGATCTAACTAACGGAGTTTCCACTTTCTCACTGAGGCACAAGAGATAGTATAGTTTGCGATTATTGGGTTTTCCGGCACAGGAAGCTGATGGTATAAATCTCTCTGTCAGTTTTCGTCGAAATAGCATCGTACCTCATAGGCCGCATAGTCATAGGGTCGCATTTGGAAGTCGCTGGCAAACAAACCGATAATGGATGTATTATCCGGAGAATATAGAATTTTATCAGCAATCTTATATCAATTTGAGGGTCGCGTCTTTGTCGAGTGTAAAAATCAATATCAAAGTGTAAATTGCTGTGCCTACTTGTGCCATCGTCCCTCCCGGACCGTCCAACACGGCTGCCCTGATGGGGCCACGTCTCCATGACGACTTCGCCGACCGTTCTCCTTTGGAAGGCTGTTGATGTTGGTGTGTAATCGTACTTTTATCACTCTCATTCGTTATCCTTTTATTATGATATGACAAAGACCATTATGATTTCACCGGTCCGGCATGGCTGTAACGCGCGCTGCTGCCCTTTCCATTGCCATAAATTGACTACAACTGAATTAAAATCAGAACTTGCCGCCCAAGGCTCGCTTATCACCACATCGCTGACGAGGATCAATCTAAAATGCGGAATTTGTTCCGTCAACACGGAAACGAACAAGGATGCTTCAAACGCCAAAGATGTAATGACCGAAAGATGTGCAGATTACAGGCAGAATAGATCGATTTCAAACCTCATTTGCCGTCAGTTGTCGGCGAACTTCCCAGTGTGTTTCTGCATGAACTTCCCTAACTTCACGTACCGAGATAGAGTGGTATAGTTCAGAAGGAGATACTCCTCTCTCGACGTAGACTTCACGACTTGTCGGAACAACCGATATTCAATATTACTTCCACTTCTTAACCACTCTTAGTAACGTTATAACATGTAGACATAAGAAATAAATAAAGACATTTTTTAATAAAAACAAACAAGCATAAACCGTTTTATAACTATTCAAAAATATGGAATTCATATTTTCTTTTATCAACATCAAATGGTTGGTTGTTGTCTAGACAAAGTAACTGTCATCTTCATAAAGCACATATTGCATAAGAGGATGATATGTTAAAATAAATTTTAAAATATAATAAATTTCGTTTAAAATCTATTTTCTTAGTCGACATAGATTGACCTGCCTTCCTGCCTTCCCATAGTCACAATCTGTCAATGAAATATAAATTAGGCAACGAAAGGAAGAAACTATATAACAAACATATTTAGACATTTGAGAATTATTAAATAAAAATTTCGCCGTATTTTGAACATAATCGATTTACACATATAGGAGATCATTTCGACTTTTTATGCGTTCGGGTTTTACTCAACCGTCCAAAAGCGGCCATAATCCAAAGAGCGTTTCCTCCTATATCCACGGGGCACGTCGTTTCGGTAGGATAAATCTACTGAGAGTTGTATATTGTTTTAATTCGCTTGATGGTTTTGAAATACATTTCTCAATGCAGCGACAGGCGGTAAATAAAGCTATGATATAATGTATCTCTAAAACATCACATTTCACAGCGGGTAGTGATATCTGTTATGTATCGCCTTATGGACTTTTAGCCACACTTTGTCTGCGAGCTGATCTTTGATTACTTGATTTAGATCTGCTAAGTGCATTGAGAAATATGTATCATCCATTCTGGGAAGTTTTGCCCTGCGGGGCGGTAGATCTCGGCGTCAACGTGCTAGATGATTTAGTCTATCAAACACATTGTTTATCTGGGAAGAGGGTGGAACGAAATCTATGAAGGGAGGAGAGGGCTTGGGGAGTTCTGTCTTAACCCCTTCCACTGTTTACGGGTTCGCCTTGTGGCAAGATACTCGGAATTATTTATTGGGTTTTTGATATCGTAATATGAACTTGATTTTCCATCTCTGCGTGATTATTTCAGGATTTCTTTTCGCAGTAAACGCTGAGTGCAACATTTTGATTGATAGAAGATTGCGGATATATGCTGTTCAGATTTTTCTGACGTTTTCAAGGATTTTTTGTTGCAAACTGATTTATCTGTATGACAAGGAAAGGATATTTAAGTATGATTCAGAGAATAATTTGACAATACGAACTTGGTAAAGGTGAAAAATGCTGGAAAATCACAGTGGTATTATCTCCTTGAAGGCGTTTCGAGAATCGATGGTACATTATTAGTGAAACTACTACAGTATATTTAACACTAGATATAAACCAGAAATGAAAAATGGAATGTACAAATACCATGCAATTATAGAAAGCATTTTATGAAAATTCTGGAATAAATACATTTCAAAGATAATTTGTAGCTTTCAGGGTTTTGGTCTCAGACAATACTAACTCAATTCAGAGAAATCAATCAATGGATGCCGTGTCATCGTTATTATTGGAATAATCAGTGAGCAAGTGTTCATGATTGATAAAGAATCGAAAATGTGTGTATAAGTATATATGTACCGACACAACTATTATATACAACGAATATTACATTTTCTGAAAAAATCAACGAGTGTTTGATAAAAAAATGTTTGTCGGAACGAATAGAACTTCACTAAGTATTTGAATAGTCTTATCATATACTAGTATATTAAACCATTTACCAAAATGCGTTTCTGTATTAACGCGTCTAGTGCACAGCAAGTGTTACCCACTGAACGTGGATTGCGTCACGTGGTCATTATTCTGTGTATCATATTTATTATCATTATTGCAATTATAAAGTACTATTTTGTTTTATTTTATGCATGATGCCTCCACCGTGTGTACCCAGCCCTCAGTGGGTGTATATGAATAACGAAGTGGAAGGGGGAAGGGGGATATAGGAATGGTTGATGTCCGCACGTCCGTCCGTCACGTTTCCTTTAAGGAGCAGAACCTAAAAACCATGAGATATATCTTAACCAAACTTGGCATATAGGTAGGACTAGTGGTGAACTGAACTGACTTAGACTGGAAATGGCTGTAGGCGAAGGATATGAGTATTTCACGGTTGTCTTATTGTAAATGGTTCTTTTATCCGTTCCAGACGTATGTTTCCGACGTTGAGGGTGTCGTTCACGGGGCTGGAGCCCGACACCAAGTACATCGTGTTGATGGACATCATCCCTGTGGACAACAAGCGCTACCGATACGCCTATCACCGGTCATCGTGGCTAGTGGCGGGGAAAGCTGACCCCCCTCTTCCCACCAGATTTCACGTGCATCCCGACTCCCCCTTTACAGGAGACCAGCTTCAGAAGCAGACAGTCTCGTTTGAAAAGCTGAAACTGACCAATAACATGTTGGACAAAAATGGACATGTAGGTGTAAGCGTGTTTTAAACTAATCTATTTGTTGTTTGTGATTTTATGTTCAACATACTATTGTATTTTTTAGTTTTTTATATGAACAAACTAATAATAATGAATTTCTTAATTATTTCATTTGGCAATGTAGCGATGATGTATTCTTTTTCAGATTTACGTAGCATTGACAACAGAAACATGTAATATTTTATTGAGTTTGGTTCAAATTTCCCTGAGATTAAAACAATATACATGTGAAACAGTGCTGCATTCTTTTAAAGTTTGCTTATTTCAAATCCTCATACATTTGTTTTCGCTTAAGGTATGTTACGGTTAAGGTTTTAGGTTGTATATTCTGCCCCAAGACATTTGGATAGCCTTTAGTGAAAAGTGGATAGCCTTAAGTGAAAAGTGGATAACCTTAAACGAAAAATGGATAGCCTTAAGTGAAAAGTGGATAGCCTTAAATGAAAAATGGATAACCTTAAGTGAAAAGTGTATAGCCTTAAATAAAAAGAAGATAGCCTTAAGTGAAAAGTGCATAGCCTTAAATGAAAAGTGGAAAGCCATAAGAGAAAAACGAATAGCCATAAGTGAAAAGTGGATAGCCTTTAATGAAAAGTGGATAGCCTTAAGTGAATGGTGGATAGCTTAAAATGAAAAGTGGATAGCCTTAGAAACGTGGATGGTATTAACTTAAATGCCAATGTGTGGTTTCGTCCTCACCTCATGTTCTATAAATAATACATATGCTGTATAATAAAGATATTGTTAACATGGGGACTATTATTATGTATTAATTATTTTCATAGTTTAGTTTGTTATACATCTATCATTTGTCTAATTTTAAAATTCAAACATTATAAACAATTACCATCGGGACATATGCAGTGATTCGTCAATGCATAAATAAAATTAAGCAATTTCGAAATTTAATTGCAGATCATCTTAAACTCGATGCACAAATACCAGCCTCGTATCCATATAGTGAAGAAGCGGGATGCCACGCCCAATCAGCCATCCTTGACAAGTCTCGACGCCGAGGAGTTCAGGACGTTCGTGTTCCCCGAGTGTGTCTTCATCGCCGTCACGGCTTACCAGAACCAGCTGGTGAGTTGTCTATGTCCCACACATCGCCTTGTAACGTTTCGATTAATGATTATGTCAAAGTTCAAAATTGAATATTTTTTAATTATTGGTTTACCCATTACTTACAGTAATATTTAAATATTAATAATTGATAATAATTGATAACTTGCACGAACCTTTATTAAAATACAACGAAACCTCCTTAATCCAGACAGTACCATTCCGGGGAAATTGTCCGGATAAACAAATAGTAAGTGTACAGAGTAATGATTATTTGTGCGTACAGAGACGTCCGCAGCAATATTCGTCCGAAAGGCTGGGTTTCCGGAATAACGGTTTCACTGTATACCGTATATCTTGAAAATAATGCGAGTGAAATTAATGCGAGTGGTCTTCGCTCACATTAATTAAACTACGGATCATTAGTTTGTAACTGATTCTCAAGGCTAATTATTATTTCAAGTTGGAATGAATCATACATGAATGTAGAATGTATAACTAACCAGTGTCGGTATATAAACATGTAAAATATTACGTTAATATTTTTTTAACATTTTAGATAACAAAACTGAAGATCGACAGTAACCCATTTGCCAAAGGATTCCGTGACTCGACTCGGCTGACGGAATTTGAAAGGTATTAAACTGAACTGGTTATGCACACTACACAAACCTCACATTTATATGAAATACTCCCTAACATGGCTAGACGCTTGCTATCATTTAGTATCCTCCTTGACATATTATAATTATTTTACGCATGCAAGTGTAAATACATACCTCTCTCTCGTCTCCTGCTCTACGCTCGTGGAATAACATCGTACCTATACTATGTACAGTAATTGATTTACTAGCATTGTCCAACAATTACTACTGTCTCGAGACATCACGGTTTCTGTCTATAACTCCTATTCATGTGAAATAACATACCAGACACATTTGCACATTTTGACAGGAGGGGTGTTTAGTTAAAACCGATCCTATATTTTTTGTCGTAAAATGTTATTATGCAAAATATTGGCGAAATGCTGAAATTGTGATAAACACACGAAGCCAGCGTTGCCTGGCAATTGTGTCGGATGTGATTTGACATTGACGGGAGGTGATAATCTACAGACAGCTTGTCTGCTTTTAAACAAGACATGATAAATGACGGTAATAGGAGTCATCTGGTCTTTATCTATATACTTACTATTAGGAATTACAGCATGCAGCCGTTCTATAACTAACGTCAAGATATAGGATGAGCGATATGAGAGGGAATAAGGGCGGGCGCCACATTGGAAATGCAAATAGGAAGATGAAGACCGTGTTTGAAAGTGAATGTGAAAGTGGGGGATTTGCGATCCTTCTTCCAAATTGTTATTTTCTTGTCAAGATTATGTTCACTGGCGACGTGCTTGTAATTTATTTCTCTTCACAAATACACACTGTGGACAACCGGGAATATTTTATATGTAAAAAAATATATAAAAATTCTTTGAAATGGACGTCCGTGGTGTTTGGAGAGGGAAAACTGCTTCGGGTAAACGGAACTGCTTGATGTTTATATGGCTTAAACTTTTGACGTATGATTTATAAAACCAAATTTGACAAAAGATTTACCGAATCACATTGAAGAAAAGTCTTGGGAGAATACGTTTCTATTGAAGTGAGAAGATATCTTTGTAACAGCTTCATTACAACACGCGAGCTGTCTGCTTGTTGAGCGGTGTAGAGACGTGTTTTTACCATACGTGTACCAGACTCGATACTAAAAGATGAATAAAAGATTCATCTTGAAATAGAAGTAATTGTATCTTGTTTGTACTTTGACAATTAGGAATGCAATCTATGTTTGATATAGGTGACATCGCCCTAATGCAGCCTAAGACCGCGTCATTCAGTGGGTGTAATAAAGTACGCAAATCTGCCTTTTTGGTGGATGAGTGGGTTAAAATTTAACGTTTAAATTTTACTTCAGCCATTTTGTGACTACCTTCTAACTTTCCATATTTTATGATAACTTTAAATGTCCAAATGAATAAAAAAAGTATTATTCTTTCGACATAAGGTATGTTGCGGAAAACCTGTTGTGATCCTTCCCAGAACGTTAGCACGTTCACCATCTGTCGTTTACAGATACGACATAAGGAAGTTGATTGTTTTAAACGAAATGTAAAATCTATACAGGAAAGGATAAAAAATATAATAGAGGACTGTTTGATCTGGGAGTGATTATAATTGGACTATCCGATGTCGTAGTGGTATTAACAGATAGGATTGTCTGAACGGTAAACAGGGTATAATTTGTGTAAGTGAGTGGGTTGGGCGCAAAGCCGTTTTTAGCAATGTCCCATCAGGACATCAGAAATTACACACTGCATACCAATATTCGGAATCGAACACGGCTACCTACCGCCTCTATTAATTTATAAAGAAGCAGTTTGTCAGCAACATTTTGTATATGTGGGCTCGTTCTTCCAGCCCAATATTCCGAGAGAGCATGGAAAGCCTCCTCCACAACCACACCTACGCCCGCTCCCCCATCCGCTCCTACACCGACGCCGAGCTCGAAGAGGTGATGCTCAAACAGCGAGAATACCTCCTGGCCAAGGGTAAGTCATTATCACGTACCATGGCTTTGGAATATATGTATTTTATGAAAACAAAACTAAGGAAGAGAATTTATGGACGCCAACTTCTTTATTATAAAGACGTTGACATCCATAAATTCTCTTCCTTGTGTGTATCACTTCTAAATGCCTTTCAAAGACTTAAAACCATTTATATAAAAGCAAGTCTAGCCAACTTTACCATGGCTTTGGAATATATGTATTTTATGAAAACAAAACTAAGGAAGAGAATTTATGGACGCCAACTTCTTTATTATAAAGACGTTGACATCCATAAATTCTCTTCCTTGTGTGTATCACTTCTAAATGCCTTTCAAAGACTTAAAACCATTTATATAAAAGCAAGTCTAGCCAACTTTACCATGGCTTTGGAATATATGTATTTTATGAAAACAAAACTAAGGAAGAGAATTTATGGACGCCAACTTCTTTATTATAAAGACGTTGACATCCATAAATTCTCTTCCTTGTGTGTATCACTTCTAAATGCCTTTCAAAGACTTAAAACCATTTATATAAAAGCAAGTCTAGCCAACTTTACCATGGCTTTGGAATATATGTATTTTATGAAAACAAAACTAAGGAAGAGAATTTATGGACGCCAACTTCTTTATTATAAAGACGTTGACATCCATAAATTCTCTTCCTTGTGTGTATCACTTCTAAATGCCTTTCAGAGACTTAAAACCATTTATATAAAAGCAAGTCTAGCCAGCTTTACCATGGCTTTGGAATATATGTATTTTATGAAAACAAAACCAATCTGGATTTATATAAAAGCAAGTCTACCCAGCTGTATTCCACAACATCGGGAAAATTATTTGTATTAATTTTAGAGGAGAAATGTATTTTGTAATAAAAGATTTCATAGACTATGTGTTAGTCTGGTTGAGTCCATCATAATATGTTTGCAGTTATAACGTTATTGCATATGTATACCTGGAACAACGCTTAGGACCACTCATTATTCGTTGTCACATAGCCAAACTGCCATGGTGTATTTGGCTACATTTACATTGACATTGATCTCATTATATCAATGTGTACGATATGATGAGAAACACGGTATGGCATGCTAGGTGGACACCCGTACTGTTTCACATCATATGATCTGAATAAACAGAGGAAACAATTAAAATGGTGCTCAAATAACGGTTGCCACAGTTACAACACGTGTTATTCGATAATCGATATATCGTTTCTGTACTACAATATAATATGTCACATCGTGAACAGAAAAAATAGCTTTCGTTACAAAATCATTTTTAAAATATTATTTAATACAGATATATACTGAACAAGAAAGTTAGGGATTATGAACATTTTGGGGATATTTTTTGTAGTGAAGACAAACAATTTCATAAAAAATATCCCCATAAATATTCATGATCCCTTACCGTTTTTGTTTATTATGTAAAGTAAACGGTGTTTAACTCTTTTCCACGTCTATATAATATTATGTCAACATAATGTTAATTTAAGAAATAATTTTGGTAAGTTAATTTTGGAGTGCTATAGATGTGTTGGTACATTCAGACAGGCGGACAGTTTATTGGTATGCAAGGCCATATGGCCTATAGTACAGTTCAGTTTTAACAGATACATGAAAATCAACGTGATTTTGAACATAGCATAATACATATTCTCAGTTTAAATACATGTTTTAGATACATTGCTAAAGATTGGATACTATCTTGGTACATTCACTTACCATGGAGATGTTGGTAGCGAGACAGTGTTAAACAATAAAATCCTCTTCATTATAATGGCGATGATACTCTCTGTGGAGATGTCGAGCTCGACATTTCGATATTCTTTAAACGCGATATTTACACGACACTCTAATTGTTGAAGTGTATATAGATTTGGCATATACGCAGCAGATTATTACCTTGTCGAATATCAGGGGGAAAAGGGATAGCAAAATATAAATCAATTAAATCATATACATACAAAATACATGTATAAATCCCTGTTGTTATATAACACCATAAGTTATCGCAGACAGATGAAAGCTTAATGAGATTAGTATCTGTATATTAAACACATATATATCATATTTTTAAATCCTATTAATGTGGGTGATTCATATAATTCATATGTTCAACAATGAAGGAAGAACACACGACATCATATATCAACGCCTTACATAGATGGAAGGTAAATGACGTAGTGATTTTATAGGATCTTCGCGTACTATTGTCCGATATAAGAACGATGGCGGGCAGTTTGCCCTGCACTATACGTACAGTTCACACACTGTGTTAAGGCTAATATGAACATAATTGCCAAGTATAACACTCAAGCATTATCGTTGGAAATGCTCATTTGAACAATACCATCTTGGTATAGCGTTGATGATACTGACAATGAGCTGTCAAATACCCTGTGAAGGCTTGGCTCCTAGGCCAACACTCCCGTGTCGTTAATTCATATATTGCGTGTATTTTGTCACTCATGGTAGTTGTCCGAATAAGCAGAGGTTACCAGTTCCCCACCTACCACCAAGTCTTAATAGCCTCCCCTGACCCTTATAAACACGATTTTCTTGATAGTTCGGGGCTAGGCTTTGTATACGGTTGATATTTCACATTGAGGTATTCTTCTAATAGCTTCAAGTAAACGATCCTCGCTGATCATTTGCCTCCCCAAACCTTATGAAACAGCTATTGTTCTTTTGAGTAAGGTCTAAATTTACACCATTGCATATTTCTAATGACATTATTACCGCGTGTAACCTTTCGTTGAATGATAATATGTGATCAAACATTCGTGGTATTGTTCTAAGCTTCGCTATCAACTTTGGCTTTGTGATGATCACCAAATTGTTTCTGTGAGCCTTTTAAACGGCGTGGTGTGCGAGTGCGCACACGGCCACATGAATTCTAACATAGCCTGATAAGAAATGAAATACAAAATGAGAGGGGGCAAAGAAACGATCCTTGACCCATACCTTACGAACTATTAGAATCAGTTCTGTCAGTAGTTTTGATGGCAGGGGGAGATAAAGCAACACCTGTACGTATGTCCTCCTGGTGGTCTCGCGAGAGGTCACGTGGATTGACCCTTGTCGTAAAGGGGACTGGTTGTCGTTAAGTAGGTCTCATCCGTTTGTCATCTTGGTCAAAAGCAACACACTGGCGGTTATATTAAATGTATTTCTTGCGTGATAGCGACGCCCTCGGTTGTAATCGTAAACGAGGAGCAAGATATTTGAATGCTTGTCTAAGAAATACCCAGGTTATTTTACAAAAGACGCGTTAAGACTAAGGGAATAGCCTGTGTGCTACACGCGATATACTCTCCGATAGCACAGCTCGATGACAAGGCTATATCTGCCATCAATTGGCTCATTTGCCAGCTCCATTATCACTAATTCATAGTCTACTATTGAGTTTCTCCACAAGTCCCTCATCACAGTTTAACAAAGGGTTACAAATGACTTGTGACAAACGCAGCTGAACTAATACACTTTATCCAAGCATTTATGTGTCACTAAGAGAAGCGGTGTATCAATTTTGTTTTTATATACCAGCCTATGATTTGTCTTTGTTTTCCGAATCGTCCACATACCTACCTTGCATGACCATTGACGAACAGAATGTTCTCTCACAGTGTCCCCTGCCCAGCTAAGCGACCGATCCCACTCTAATTCACTGTATTGGAATTCAACGCCTATTAAAGACACCACCTAATAAAGACACCATTGTTCTATCCTGCGCGAGACAATGGCATTTTATGTAGCCCAGTTGAGCTGGGGATCCAACTGGTTGTGTAGCCTACCCGGCCAGGTGTAGTCAGGTGTTAGCTCAACTTCTTCATTCCAAGCGTCACGCAATACCGAAGCAGTCAGTGGTCTGGATAGTCTTTGAAGTTTAATGGTGTCTAGATCATATTTACGTATCAAGGCGATAACGATCAAACACATTTATCGAAACAGCCATTCCGTAAATATGATACAGACTGTGGTTTCCTTCTTTGGAGCATCTTAACAGTGTTTTCAATTGTCAGAATTACACAGGAAAAAATATTATCCAATGAAAGGATTGAGAAATCTAAGACATTATTTGCTTCGATTGTGATACTTAGTTTGCTCCGTGTTGATAAACATGTACGTCCGACTTCGAACTTGCCTCACATAGTGACGAGTTAAAAACTATTCATGTTTAGTCTTTGATAGGCATTAGAAGTTGGAAGAACATCAAGACTTCTGCTATTCTTTAGCGGGGGCAAAAACTAGCCTGAAACATCATTTCTAAGAATAAGGAAGTTGTAAACGTCGTTACAAAGAATACAGAAGTTGTTATCCATTACAAGTTTCATGTCTTAAGTGTCTTGCTCCTCACGACTTTCATCAAAACTTATTTGGAAAGGAGAGAGGATTTTTTTCTTTAATTTTCATTCTTTAGAATGTTCTATGAAAATTAAAAAGTCTTTCTAATTACCATTTGACAGACACACTTCGTAAACTGGCGCTAGAACGAAATTGAACGATATTTCTTTACAGTGCTTAAAAATAATATTTATGAGCGGGTGGGTCAACAGGAAATTAAATTTACCAAGTCTTAAGTTCATACGCTGTGATACAACTGAAATATTGTTCAAAGCGTTGTTAAACTTCACTAATATCATAGACCCTCATTCGCGAACATTTTTAGCCACCATCAAGCATGGGTGTATATTTTCTTTTGCCCAGCAGTGTACGATACACATTAGAAAGTTGTAATTCTTGATCAATGTGAAATAAAAATAATTTTTGTGAAAGTAACCATGCTGGCTGTATGTTTATATACCAATAACGGAATCTTGTTTATTCAGATGACCCGTCGTCTATGGATAAGAACGGTGTGTTCCCGTCCCCTACCTGGTCAATATGGCGTCCGATCTGCTCCACAATGATGAACTCGTCCTACTACACAGCCAGTCGGCCGTTTTACACATTCTATGGAGGCTTTCTTGGACTTGCAAATTCGAGCGCACCTTTTCCGTCTGTAGCGTTTCATCCGGGTCTTTCAGGTGTGAACGGGTACCCGCCTATGAGGGAGATGACCCAGCCCAGTGCATCTGTCGCCCCCTCGGAACACTCACCAAGCCCTCATCACCACCTAGGCATGTACAACCGATACCATCCATATATGTCGCCTGATAAACTAAAAAGCCCAGACTCAACTGTGGTTGATGGTTGTCACCCCTGATAACCTTCACATTGTGACTTGAAAGCTCCACACACCGATATGTTACACTTCCGGTCGTTATTGAAATGAGTCGGAGACGGCATCAGTTGGGAACATGTCTTTCATCTATAATGGCTGTTATGTGCAGAATTTGACCACAGATTATTTCGGGGAAGATTTTATGAGTATTTGTGTTAATTTTTTATGAGTAATATAAGAAGTCAGAACTGCATGAACATTTAATCAGCTCACGAGACAACGCGAGAACTGATATCTTAGTTTATTATTGTCGTCAATGACTATTTGTTGATTATTGAAATATTTATGATTCTCGAAATGACCAGCTACTTGATTATTATTATTATTATCCTTATTGTATCTGTAAATTATCCGGCTATTGATTTATGAGAACACGAATATTAACGATTAGTTAACTGTGAGGGCGGTGGCATAGTATAGTGGTCTAAGCGTTCGTTCGTCACACTGACGACCCGGGTTCCATTGCCCTTATAGGTACAATGGGTCAAGGAAATGCCGTGATTTTGCTAGAGTATTGCTAAAAGCGGTGACAAACTAAACTCACTAACTAGTTAACTGTGAACACGTGATGGATGCACAAAGTGACCACAACATAGGCATGCTGTGATTCCATTCCAAATCAACCAGAAAACAGACACAGCGACAGGAAAATACAAATCTTTATGATGTATAGTCATATATCACTTGTAAATATTTCATCAAGTTTGTAAATGTCTTCCATATACACGTGTAAAGCGAGTTTCTGTACCACTATTCTCGCTGTAAAAAGGATCTTCATATCAAGAACATGTGTTTGTAATTTATGTGATATGTTTCTGAATCAGTTGTTCTTTAAATAAAGAAAATGAACATGACTAAAGTGTGTTTTTATTGTATCGTCCGTGTGTTGTGTATGTGCATGTATGAGTGAGTGAGTGAGTCGGTCGGGTTTAACGCCGGTTTAATTCCTATTCAATTTTTATCACATTTACCACATTGATAAAGCACACTGCCATTTGCAGCGACTGATGGATGATTACACGTGGCTCATTTGTTTGTTACATGAAACACGAGCGACTGGACCAACTGTTTCATTTTGTTCGTTTGTAATTTAACGCCGAAGCATTCCAGTCTGTAAGTAATCAAGTCTGCACCAGACAACTCAGTGATTGATATTATGAACAACGATCCGCGCAGTCTGTTTAAGATGACACGCAGTCAACCAAGTTACCGAGTCTGACCATTAGTTTTAGTCGCCTTTTACGACCAGCATCGGTTGCTGGAGAGCTATTCAAAATTGGAATTCCATGGGCGAGGAGAGGTGAAATGCGTTTAACGTCACGTCCAAGATTAGTGCACTTATATATCGACGTGCATGCAAGTGTGTGTGTGTGGTTGCTTGTACTAGTCCGAACTAGGGGGCACGGGTGGCCCAGTCGTCTGAGCCGCCGCGATTCGCTGTGCAGAGTTGCGTCCCTTGGGCAAGCCAGAAACCTATGATTGGGGGTTCGAATCCCGGTTCGCCCCAATTATGTTTCTAGGTTTGTCAGCACCATACCCGTGCTCGTTGGTTTCACCGAAGTGGTAAACGTCTTAGATCTGCATCACTTCGGGCTTTCCTCCCACATTAAGCTGACACGCCGTGATATAACTGGAATAATGTTAAAAGCGGCGTTAAACCCAACTCACTCACTCAGTCACTCACTAGTCCGAAGTGATGCCACTTTTATAGTGCTAGTCCACTGAGATACCAAGCCGAGTTTAACATGGATACCCCACTCAGATCCAGTGTCCTGACTCCGAGCCGACCAGCCCCTTAATGCCGAGCGCCAGGCAGAGTAACAACAAGTACCTTTTTAAACGTCTTTTGGTATGAAGCGACCGGGGATCGAACCCCGGAGTTTCCGCTTTCCGGGCGGACGCTATACCATTAGACCACGGTGGCGGTCGAATTCCATGGGAACTTCAGGGGTATATGTGACATAGAGACATGAGGAGAATCACCAATGTGGAATTAGGTTAAGATGCTTCAAATATGTTCCCAAAATGGAAGGACAACTAAGGATCAATAAATGTAACCCATTTTGAATTATGTATTTCTAAACTGGTTATGCGTATAAAGTATTATTTATTGTTTTTAACACCGACACAAGAACAGAAGTTGTTGAGACTGTGTGGTTGGTTGGTTTGGTTGGTTTGTTGTTTAACGCCGCACTCAGCAATATTCCAGCTATATGACGGCGGTCTGTAAATAATCGATCTAGACCAGATAATCCAGTGATTAATATCATGAGCATCGATCCAAGCAATTGGGATCGATGACATGCATCAACCAAGTCAGCGAGCCTGACCACCCGATCCCGTTAGTCGCCTTTTGCGACAAGCATAGTCACCTTTTAAGGCAAGCATGGGTTGCTGAAGACCTATTCTACCCCGGAATCTTCACGGGTCTGAGACTGTGTGGAGACTGATAATGTACCAGACTTGGCACAGACAGACGGATAATTTAACTGGTAATTTACTTACACTGATGGGGCACATGGAGACTGAATATATAGTTTACTTAGACCAGGCACATGAGAACTGATCATTTACTTGAACTAGGCACATGAGAACTGATCATTTACTTGAACTAGGCACATGAGAACTGATCTTTTACTTGAACTAGGCCCATGAGATCTAATCATTTACTTGAACTAGGCACATGAGAACTTATCATTTACTTGAACTAGGCATATAAGAACTGATCATTTACTTGAACTAGGCACATGAAAACTGATCGTTTACTTAGACTAGGCACATGAGAACTGATCATTTACTTGAACTAGGCACATGAAAACTGATCGTTTACTTGAACTAGGCACATGAGAACTGATCATTTACTTGAACTAGGCACATGAAAACTGATCGTTTACTTGAACTAGGCACATGAGAACTGATCATTTACTTGAAAAAGGCACATGAAAACTGATCGTTTACTTGAACTAGGCACATGAGAACTGATCATGTACTCAAACTAGGAACATGGAAAGTGATAATTTACTTCAATTGGGCACGTGGAAACTGATAAGTTACTTAAACGAGGCACATGGATATTGATAATTTACTAAAACGAGGCACATGGATATTGATAAGTTACCTAAACGAGGCACATGGATATTGATAATTTACTAAAACGAGGCACATGGATATTGATAATTTACTTTAACTAAGTACATCAAAAATGATAATTTAATTAAATTAAGTAAACAGAGACTGGTAATGTACTTAAACTAAGCACGTGGAAACTGATAATTTACTTAAACAAGGCACATGGAAACTGATAATGTACTTAAACGAGGCACATGGAAAGTGATAAAAAACATAGAGACCGGTAATTTACTTAAATTTGAAACCAAGCACAGGGTGAATGCGCTCTTCAATAAAACTATGTACCCCGTACGTAGATCTGAGAAGTTCCCTTTTTCCTTGTCATTACACACACATAGGTTCCATCACACACAGCAGACAAACCTGCTGTCGGAATCAGGAAGGGGGAATGACGGTCAGTTAGAGTACTGAGTGGGGTTCCCTCATAGTCCCTGGGTGGTGCCTTCTGAGCTTTTAGCTCACCAAGGCCTAAGATCTCATGAACATGCTGAAATGATATCTACTAGCATGAACTATTAAAAGGGTGGCTAGCACCATACGATTTAGTTGATTTGTTGTTTAACGCCGCACTCAGCAATATTCCAGCTTTACGGCAGTCTCTAAATAATCGAGTCTGGACCAGACAATCCAGTGATTGAAATCATGAGCATCGATCCACGCAATTGGGATCGATGACATGCATCAACCAAGTCAGCGAGCCTGACCACCCGATCCCGTTAGTCACCTTTTACGGCAAGCATGGGTTGCTGAAGACCTATTCTACCCGAAATCTTCACGGTTCAGCACCATAAGAAGGCGCAGGTTATGTCTTAATGTGATTTAACAAAAAAAGTTTTTATTCTGTAAAAATTGTTACAAATCTTTCATCCTCAAAGACAGTGATATGATGACAGTGTTATATATTGTTAAACAAGGTAGGAATAAAATTTATATTCTAAACACCATTTCTGGAAACCTAAAGAGCCCCAGCGTCATGAGGATGTGAAGGACCAAGACGCGGATTGGAATTGTTTAGTTGCTTGTGGAACTTTCCTCCAAACAAGCTGACACGCCTGATGGAACTGAAATTCTGTTCGAAGGGACGCTAACCCAAACCACTCTTGTGTGCGATATGCAGATATGACCACTATCATATGCACCGATCCACGAGTACAATGACACAGGACAGACCTATTCAGACTTGACCCGATGTATGTTGTTTAATGACACATTCAGCTAGGTCCAGCTATATGGCAACTGTAATATTCGTGTCTGGGCCAGACAAACCAGTTCTTGATATTTTTGGTACGTTTTTTTCTAACCCGGATAGCAATGGGGTTGTGTGCATTGGAATTTAGAATTGTTTGGGGTTTACAAATTAAAAAAATATTCTTCACTTGTGGAAAGTGTGCAAACATAATTAACTCTACGGAAGTAGGGGGCACGGGTGGCCCAGTCGTCTAAGGCGCCGCGATTCGCTGCGCAGAGTTGCGTCCCTTGGGCACGTCGGAAAACCTATGATTGTGGGTTCGAATCCCGGTTCGCCCCGAATATGTTTCTAGGTTTGTCAGCACCATACCCGTGCTCGTGGGTTTCACCGAAGTGGTAAACGTCTGAGACCTGCAATACTTCGGGCTTTCCTCCCACATTAAGCTGTCACGCCGTGATTTAACTGGAATACTGTTAAAAGCAGCGTAAAACCCAACCCACTCACTCACTCACTCTACGGGGGTATACGTAGTACCACACTTGGCTCAGATTTAACCATGGCATTTAGGAACTGAACTCATTTATGAGTTGAAAAGAATAACAAATATTTACGAATATCATCATGATCTGTCTGAAATTTATATAGATTATAATGGTTTTAAATTACTCTCAGACATCGCCGTATGCGCCCAGCTGTGGCCATTGTTAACGGAGCTGAAAAAAGTATGATATCATACTGTCTTCTCACATACTACAACACACTCATTTAAAGTTTAAAGAATATTATATTGATATTTTAAGGTCTTCTTACATAATTCAACACATATTGCATTTAAAGAACATCAAATATTTACGAATATCATAGTGATCTAATTGAAATTTTGAGTAGATTATAAATAATAATAGTGTTAAATTACTGTAAGACATCGCCATATGCGCTCAACTGTGGCCATTGTTAACGGAGCTGAAAATATAAATGTATATGTCATGACTGCTTTAACAATGCAATGACACTTTCAAAGAATCTTAGTTAACATATAGATTTTATTTAAAGTTTAAAGAATATCACATTGATAGTATAAGGTCTTCTTACATACTACAACACACATGCCACTTAAAGTTGAAAGAATATTACATTGATATTTTACCGTCCTCTCTCAGACTACATCACGCACACCCAATTGAGTGAGTATGGATTTACGCCGCTTTTAGCAATATTCCAGCAATATCACGGCGGGGGACACCAGAAATGGGCTTTAACTACTTGGCTGCCCGACCGCCCCCGCCCACTTGAGATTTCACCACATAAAATATTCAGCTCAGTTAGCAGAATGAATGAATGAATGAATGTCAATTAACAGCCACCCTCTCCCTACTTGGTGGTCCCAGATTTGACTACCAACAACATTCACCTCACTTTGCCCACGTCCGGTTAACAGTTCTTTTGTGCCTGTTATTATACTGTTATCATACATACAATATAATGCTAATGTAGTACTAATATTGCGCACTTATGAATCAGGTATCCTCTTCTTTC